ATACGGATTTCTTCGAAACATCACGCGATCGACGAAACTACGCGTGATTTCGAGCTAACGTTTCGGCGCGTGTATAAAGAGAAGGTACGACAATAATAAGTTGGACAAAGACGAATTCAAATTCGTCTACAGCGCCGCTAGTCGGAGATTCTCCCCTCCGAATTTGACTAACCGTGCTGGATCGTCACTCTTAACTTGGAACCGGCAGTGAGCAGATGGGCATACGATCCCGCTCCCCCGGAATTTCCAAGACGTTCGAATAGTTTCGAGTCACTCGAACTTTCGACGAAATTGTAAACGTGGGTTGGAAGTGCAGTACGAGAACGGATTGGGAATCCATCCGGTACCGTCAATACTTCCGCAAAACCCGTTTACAATTTAAAATCAAAGAGTCGTAAACGTGGACAGGAAGTTCAAATACGGAACGGATTGTAAAACAATCCTATACCGTGAACTTCCACAACCCGTTTACTATTTAAAAGAGTCGTAAACGTGGACAGGAAGTTCAAATACGGAACGGATTGTAAAACAATCCTATACCGTGAACTTCCACAACCCGTTTACTACTTAAAAGAGCCGTAAACGTGAACAACAAGTTCAATACGGAACGGATTGGAAAACAATCCTATACCGTGAACAACAAGTTCAATACGGAACGGATTGGAAAACAATCCTATACCGTGAACTTGCACAGGACGTTCAATACGGAACGGGTTGAAAAACAACCCCATCCCGTGAACCTCCGCAGGACGTTCAATACGGAACGGGTTGTAAAACAATCCCCTCCCGTGAACTTCCGTAAGCCGTTTACCAATTAAACAGATTAGGTCGGAACACGACCTGATCCAAAGACTGTAAAGATCTCGCAGGTTATAATCCGAGATTTCGAATTCAGCAGTGGGTACGATCCACCTCAGCCTGAATACAGACACGGATCGCTGTAATCAGAGGTCGTGTCCGAAGTATTCAGCAGTGGCTACGACCCACCTTGGTCTGAAAAATAAAAAGTAAAAGAGAACACGGATCGCTGCAATCAGAGGTCGTGTTTAAGGTATCGAGGTTGACTCTCGTACCTCTCTTGTATATCAAACGGTTCGGAACCCACAATCCAGGGGTGTATAAAATACCCTGGGTGGATTTACCACCTTCTAGTCGAAGTGTGGGACAACTTTCACTCCCAGCTTACGACGAACAGCAGAATACCTCCAAAGATCGCCAGTCTAGTACGGTCACTGTGCGTAGGACGTTAATTCATCAAGCTACGTGGTGTCAGGCCCAATCGTAAGTCGACCCAAGGGCGCCGTTGGCACACCTGCATCACACCGTGCCCGTACGCACGCAATAAGGTGGTAAAAAAGGGCCGAGGAGCGGGTACGGTTGCAGCCTTACAACCTCCACCCGTTACCCTCTCCTACGATAGTCGAAACCTGCAGTCGGGAAAGAAACGAGGTTGAATCTCGTCTTCCCCAAAACTGCAATCAGCTGTTTCCCGGTTTAAAGGGAACGCACACAAACATATACAGTCCACTAGCTTAGCTGCGTAACGCGGCGGCTGAGTTTCCCGCTCCTGAGTGCGACAAGCACAATCAGGAGCGCGTGAACATTAAAACGAGACGGAGAGAGTGACAAACGTTACCGTATATTTACATCTCGTTCCGTCTCTTTTGTTTCAGAACAGCGTGACGCGAGCACACGCCAGACGCCAGTCAGACAGGCGAGGTTTTTGTCGCGTATAATCTAATTAAGACAGGCTGTTCGCATTTAAAGGTCCACAATAAACGACGTCGTCGAACTCTTTCGACGACGTGAAATTATATATAACGTGTGACAATTACTTTTCCATCCTCCTATTCCCTCGTGATCCGGACCCCCGTTAGACGAGGTTCTCAAATCAGTGTTTGAGCCCTCCACATTCTAACAGATGTAGAGTTGGTAAATGCAATTTACATTAATGAAAATTTGTGTGAAGCTTGTATTAAAGGCAAACAAACACGTTTACCATTTAACACAGCTAAAGAAAAAGATTATATAACAAGGCCATTAGTAATAGTACATTCTGATATCTGTGGTCCGATTGCTCCTTCTACGATAAATAACAAAAATTATTTTGTAACATTTATTGATGAATTTACACACTATTGCGTGATATATCTATTGACAAATAGATCAGAATTCTTTGCAATTGTTAGAATGTGGAGGGCTCAAACACTGATTTGAGAACCTCGTCTAACGGGGGTCCGGATCACGAGGGAATAGGAGGATGAAAAAGTAATTGTCACACGTTATATATATTTTCACGTCGTCGAAAGTTCGACGACGTCTTTTATTTTTCGGCCCTTTAAATTATTACAGCCTTTTCGGATTAAGCGTGATCCGTCTGGCCGTCGTCTGGCGGCTGCTCGTGTCACGCTGTTCTGAAACAAAAGAGACGGAACTAGGTGTAAATATACGGCAACGTGAGTCACGCTATCCGTCTCGTTTTAATGTACACGCGCTCCTGATTAGGCTCGTCGCGCTCAGGAGCGGGAAACTCAGCCGCCGCGTTACGCGGCTAAGCTAGTGGACTGTATATGTTGTGCGTTCCCTTTAAACCGGGAAACTTCTTATTGCAGTTTTGGGAAGACGAGATTCAACCTCGTTTCTTCCTCGACTGCAGTTTTTGACTGTCGTAGGAGAGGGTAACGGGTGGAGGTTGTAAGGCTGCAACCGTACCCGCTCCTCGGCCCTTTTTACCACCTTATTGCGTGCGTACGGGCACGGTGTGATGCAGGTGTGCCAACGGCGCCCTTGGGTCGACTTACGATTGTGCCTGACACCACGTAGCTTAATGAATTAACGTCCTACGCACAGTGACCGTACTAGACTGGCGATCTTTGGAGGTATTCTGCGATTCGTCGTAAGCTGGGAGTTAAAGTTGTCCCACACTTCGACTAGAAGGTGGTAAATCCACCCAGGGTATTTTATACACCCCTGGATTGTGGGTTCCGAACCGTTTAATATTCAAGAGAGGTACGAGAATCAACCTCGATACCTTAAACACGACCTCTGATTGCAGCGATACGTGTTTTCTTTTACTTTTTGATTTTTCAGACCAAGGTGGGTCGTAGCCACTGCTGAATACCTCGGATACGATCTCTGATTACAGGGATACGAGTCTGTATTCAGGCTGAGGTGAATCGTACCCACTGCTGAAATCGAAATCTCGGATTATAACCTGCGAGATTTTACAGTCAATTAATCAATTAATCAGGTCGTGTTCCGATCTGATCTTATTAATAGGTAAGCGATTATGGAAGTATTGACGGTACCGGATGGTTTCCCTATCCGTTTTCGTCGAGACCTTCCTCGCGCTTCCGACTCTAATTTTAATTGAAATTAAATAACGTGTGTGGAAGTTAAGACGTTACCGGATGGATTGCCAATCCGTTTTCTCGTACTGCACTTCCAACCCACGTTGTAATTTCGTCGATAGTTCGAGTGACTCGAAACTATTCGGCCGTCTTGGAATTCAGGGGGAGCGGGATCGTATGCCCATGTGCTCACTGCCGATTCCAAGTTCAAGAGTGACGATCCAGCACGGTTAGTCAAATTCGGAGGGGAGAATCTCCGACTAGCGGCGCTGTAGACGAATTTGAATTCGTCTTTGTCCAACTTATTATTGTCGTACCTTCTCTTTATACACGCGCCGAAACGTTAGCTCGAAATCACGCGTAGTTTCGTCGATCGCGTGATGTTTCGAAGAAATCCGTATGTGACAGTTTTTATAACCTGTCTTGTTTTCGCGTTGCGGACACGAGAGTCGAACAGTCTCGAGTCGGTTACATACGCAGAAAACAATACCGGGTGACGAATAATATTCTACTATTCTTATATGCTTCGAATTAACGCGATATTTAAACAGCAATGTTTAAAGATTACGTAGCAAAAAGTGAAGCACACTTTAATTTAAAATTAGTTAATCTGTATTGTGATAACGGTAAAGAGTATCTGTCTAATGAGATGAAAGATTACTGCGTTCAAAAAGGTATCAGCTATCATTTAACTGTTCCGCGAACTCCACATGTTTAGATTCACAATATGAATTGCCACCTCATAAAGCCATTTGACTAGTGCCCTTAAGGCAATAGGGCCCTAAAAGCCATTAGCAGCGTTTGCTAATGGGACGAGGTACCGCGCGGCCTGACACCACCGTTGGGTCAGGGTTTTTCCGCCAAGTACCTGTGACATGTAGACCACCGTCTTGGATGCGAAGGTAGAGAAGTAGCAGCGCACCAATCAGGAAGGAGAAATTTTCTGATTGGCTAGAGGCTGATTTTCAAGGTAACATTTAAGGCCCCACACTTGTAATTTTTGACACACACGTTTTTTGAACATAGGCAGCACACCACGTGCAACGCATAAGCAACATCGGCAGCACTCTACGTGCATTATAAATTGTAAATAAAGACAATCCTTAAACCAAATAAGGTTTTTCAATCAACCTTTGGCAGCACACAACGTGCACTGCTGGTCCTTCGAGCAAGTCGGCACATTACGTGCAAACCTTCCAAAGCTTGAAGATCTTACGATCGCCACAAGCCCCAACATTGGTCCTACGAGCCGGATTGGAACCAGCGACCTAGGGATCGTCATCCGGATCATCAGGCATCTAAGATTTATCTTGGACCAGTCACAGCATTCGGATCAACCAAACCAAGCAAGGTGCTTGGCATTTCCTGAGGACAGATTCCCGTTGAGCAGCCAGAATCACGATCATTACGTGGTCACATTGGACTACAATTGCTGCATCATCTTGTGAGCATCCTGTACTACTTCTGACTGCTGACCGTTGGTGAACATCTTGAGACAATTCATCCAGCATCCACGGACGAGAGTGCCTACACTTGAGATACCTTATCAACCGACGAGAGACAACTGGTCCACGCAGCATCCAGAGGCATCATCACCCACTGATCATCAACAGCGTTTCTGTAAGTCTCTCAAATTGCGTAATTTACACGATGGAGAGTCACCTAAAACCTCTCATCGTCGAACGCCGGACGGTCAAAGCGAAATTAACCATATTGAAAAACTTCGTTCAAACTGCAGCTAACGAGACAGACGTTCTTGCGCTAGAGAGACGACTATCAGTAAACGAAAAATTGCATGAAAAATTTGACGATGTACAAACACGAATAGAAACAATTGTTATCGGCACAAATTTAGAAGAATTGCATTTAAACGAACGGGAAGTATTCGAGTCTACATACTTTAATACGATGGCGTCACTCGAGCGACTTATTCAAAATCTTCGCGGTCCCGCACGACCGAATACGTTACATACACCCTCACCCGTCATATCTGAAACGGTTACACCACGATTGCCTACGATCACATTACCAACTTTCAGTGGGGATTTTGATAATTGGTTACGGTTTCGTGATACCTTCGAATCGTTGATTCACAATAAGGAAGGTTTAACAGACATACAGAAATTCCATTATTTAACCTCCGCGTTAAAGGGCCCGGCAGCACGCATGATAAGCTCACTGGGTGTTTCTGAGGCAAATTACAAGTTTGCATGGCATAGTTTAAAGAATCGTTATGAGGATTCTCAGGCATTGACCATTCATCACGCCGACGCTCTCATTGATCTTCCTCCGATTAGAAAACCGTCGGGTATCGTAATTCGTGAATTTATAGATACAGTGAACAATCACATCCTTGCACTGGAGGCGCTCGGGCTTCCAGTGAAAACGTGGGATCTCCTTGTAGTTCTCATATTAACAAAAAAGTTGGACCCCGCGTCGCGTGTCGAATGGGGAAAAAGGGCCGTAAGGTCACAAAATACACCTACACTTCGCGAATTTATCGATATATTAGAAGAGCGATCGCGATTGCTGGAACGAACCAAACCGGTAGCTAGCTTGCCCTCCTCCAGTGGTTCAGAATTAAACAAAATCAAACCAAGAAATCAATTCCATGTTTCCTCCCATGTTGCAAGTACGCTAATTCAGTGCGTAGTATGCAAGGGAGAACATACATTATTCCAATGTAAGGAATTCAGATCCATGCCTCAAGCGAAAATGCACGAAACAATGAAACGTTTGCAGTGTTGTTTTAACTGCCTACAAACAGGGCACAGTGCAAGGACACGTACTCGCGGAGTCTGCAAAAAATGTGGTGGCAAGCATAACACCCTTTTGCATCGCGATTATTCAACGTCGACTTCAAACTTTGTATATTCATCCAGTACACCCTCGCCAAGCAAAGAATCGTCGTCACAAAATTCGATTGTAGAGCCAACAATTCAGTCTTGCTTAGCGAATTCTCAGGGAACTGCCGTCGATTACACAGTTCTATCAACCGCTCTAGTCCATGTAGAAGATATGCACGGTAACAAACATGAATGTTATGCTCTCTTGGGCGTTGGATCACAAGCTCATTTTATTTCTGAAAATCTTTGTAATAAGTTAAAACTTTCGCAAACTAGAATAAATGCAATGACGAGTGGTTTGGGAATGATTACGAATCCCGTAAAATCAAAGACACAAATAGTGATGCACTCCAGAACCGGTAGCTTTAAATCAAATTTAGAATGTCTAGTCATACAGAAAATCACTGACAACATGCCGAGTGTTCCATTAGATAGGCGCGCTATTTCCATTCCAACGGGAATTCCAATAGCCGATCCACGATTTAATGAATCCAAGGAAATAGATTTGTTAATTGGTGCCGCACTTTTCTGGCAGCTATTGTGCGTTGGGCAACACAAGGCAAACGCTGGATTAGTGTGGCAAAAAACAAGACTCGGTTGGGTACTAGGTGGGCATTTACGTTGGCCTCGAGACAACCCAACAATTGATATTCGCACATTTCATACGATTAAGCTGGATAGATTAGACAATGCTATCACTAAATTCTGGGAGATTGAGGATAACGTATCGATTCAAAACAATCAAATAGCGATAGACGATAGTGAGACACATTTTCAAAGGAATACAACTCGTGATGCAGATGGAAAATATATAGTTAGCATTCCATTCAATGACAAAATTGGAAAATTAGGAACCTCAAGGGAACAAGCAGAAAAACGCCTGCTGGCCATGGAACGAAAATTTGCAAGGAATCCTACTCTTCGTTCTCAATATAATCAATTCATGTTAGAATACGAACAATTAGGACACATGTCGCGTTTCATTGATTCCACTAATACATTAGATTCCGGTTACTTCTTACCACACCATGCCGTTTTTAAGGAAACAAGCACTACCACTAAATTACGTGTAGTTTTCGATGGTTCCGCCAAAACTTCATCCGGAATATCTCTAAATGAGACGCAGCTTGTGGGTCCAACCGTCCAAAGCGATCTATTCTCGATCTTACTGAGATTTCGAAAACATAACATTATTCTGTCGGCCGATATTGAAAAGATGTATCGGCAGGTACTGGTGAAAAGGGAGGATCGAAGGTTTCAGCGTATCCTTTGGCGCTTTAGTCGGGAAGATTCTATCAGCACATTTGAATTAAATACCATCACTTATGGTACGGCATCTGCCCCATTTTTAGCCACGCGAACATTGACTCGGGTAGGTCAAGAACATCTTGACACATTTCCAATCACTGCTCATACGATCATTAACGACTTCTACGTGGACGATTTATTAACTGGCTGCGAGACAGTGACGGACGCTCAACAATTACATCGCGAACTGACAGATCTTTTAGGGCAGGCAGGTTTTCCATTAAGAAAATGGGCTTGCAACCACCGTGACGTGTTAACAGGACTGACTGACGAAACACGACAAGAAATAAGATTTGATACGAGCGACCATGACCAGAAGACATTAGGTTTGTTATGGTCCACAACTACGGACGAGCTTTGGTACACTTTCAAATCACATTCGCAGACTCCCGTGACTAAGCGCGCCATTTTATCCCGGATCGCACAAATCTTCGATCCTCTGGGTTTGATAGGGCCTGTCATTGTGAGAGCAAAACTCATCATGCAGCAATTATGGCAGCTGCAATTAGGGTGGGATGAAACCTTACCACAAGGTTTGCATACCCAATGGTCCACCTTTCATTCGGAATTACATCAAGTTATTTCATGTAAGGTACAACGTAGAGTATTGTGTAGTAACGCTAAACGCGTTGAACTGCATGGCTTCGCGGACGCATCCGAAAGGGCATATGGGGCATGCATCTACATTCGTACGCTAATGGAGAATAATACATGGTTTGTGCGGCTACTATGCGCGAAATCTCGGGTAGCACCCTTAAAAACTATTTCTTTACCGCGTTTAGAACTTTGCGCGGCACTTTTGCTATCACGGCTAGCAGATAAGGTCAAACGCGCGCTCGAGTTGGATTTTAACTGTGAACAATATTGGTCCGACTCCACTATAACCCTTGCCTGGATTAAGGGTCCATCATCAAGGTGGAAAACCTTTGTTGCAAATAGGACATCGGAAATTCAACAACTAACTTCGACCAAAAACTGGAACCATGTAAATTCAGAGCAAAATCCCGCCGATGTACTTTCACGTGGTTCTAGCCCTAGCGATCTGAGCACAAATCATCTTTGGTGGTTTGGCCCAAAATGGTTAACTGAAGAGGTCGATCAATGGCTTGCTTCAGACATTTTTGTGCAGCATCCACCTGAGGAAAGGCAACCTTCAGTTACATGCTACAACATATTAAATAAATCTCATTCGGACCTTGATGATATCTTTCTGAAATACTCCAGCTATTGCCGATTACGTCGAATCGTCGCATATTGTCTACGGTTCATCAATCGACTTAAACTTGTTATTAGGAAACCGCAATCTGGCAAAAATGGAGATGATCTTCCATATAACAATCTATTTTTATCCACTAAGGAGCTTGTAGAATCAGAATACTCACTTGTGAGATTAGCGCAGCTACGGGAATTCGTTGATGAAATTAAAATTTTAATCTCTAACAAGAAACTAAGTTCAACGAATCGCCTAATCTCATTAAACCCATTTTTGGACAACTTTGGAGTCCTTAGAGTTGGAGGGAGATTAATCAATGCACCTGTGCCTTACTATCAGAAACATCCAATGATTTTGCCGTATAAACACCCATTGTCCACACTTATTGTAGTTTATGAGCATCAAAGACTTTTGCATGCCGGGTGTCAGCATACACTAGCGTCATTACGTTCTCGATTTTGGCCAATTTCCGGGAAACGACTAGTGAAGAAGGTCATTCACGATTGCGTACCATGCTTCAAGGTAAAACCCATTGGTACCAGGTATATTATGGGCAACCTACCTGCCGCTCGGGTAACGCCAGCTCGCGCGTTCGCTACTTGCGGCATCGATTATGCAGGTCCGGTAGTAATTAAGGAAAGGGGTCGTGGTCGTATCTCTCACAAAACTTACATTTGTTTGTTTGTTTGCTTCGCGACGAAGGCGATCCATATTGAATTGGCGATAGACCTCACCACCGATGCTTTCCTAAATTGTCTATACAGATTTATTTCGCGAAGAGGAAGAAGCCAATGCATTTACTCTGACAATGGGACGAATTTTATCGGAGCTCGAAATGAGCTCAATGAACTGGGCATATTACTGAATAGCCAACCCCATAATGATAGAGTCCGTACAGCCCTGCCCCAGGAGCAAATACAGTGGCATCTCATTCCGCCTTACTCACCGCATTTCGGTGGCCTCTGGGAACGCGCGATCAAATCAGTTAAAACCCATTTGAAGATCGTAATAGGAACTCAACAATTGACATACGAGGAATTATATACAATTCTCGCGCAAATAGAAGCATGTCTAAATTCGCGACCACTTCATCCATTGTCAAATGATCCGAATGATCTCACCCCGCTCACGCCAGGACACTTTTTGATAGGCGAGCCTTTAAATGCTCTTCCACAACCAGATCTCTTACATTTAAACCAGAATAGATTGAATAGATACCAGTTAATCCAACAAATAACACAACATTTTTTTAAGCGCTGGCAACGCGATTATCTCACTGAATTACAACAAAGATGTAAGTGGAAAACGGACTCTCCAAATGCCATCTCAGAGGGTATGATGGTACTCATCCGTGATGATAACCTGCCCCCTCTTAGATGGAAATTGGGAAGAATTACAGAACTGCATAAGGGAACCGACGGAGTCGTAAGGGTGGCTTCTGTCAAAACTTCAGATGGAATTATCAAACGACCGATTGTAAAACTTTGCTTTCTACCAATTACAAGTATCCATACTTAGTTCTAGCATTTCATGTATATTTGCTCACAATAGTATAGGCGTTAATTAATATTATCAGAATTATTTTAAGTATCTATCAAACATGTACTTTATTCTTGTTAGAACAACTTTGTAAATAGAATTTAATTAACTTGACATTTAAGCCTGTATTATAGAATCGATGTATATTTGTATATTTGTCCGCTAAATTACCTCTAACCGTTCGTATTTATATAAGGAAAATGTATTTCCCTTCACTCGAATTTGCCGCGCTCTGCGCGAACATAGCTATAGGGTACTGATATCGATCAATATCGATAGAGATAAGGAGAGAAGTAGAGGTTATGTAGGAGAGTGTAAATGCGGGAAAGTAATGCAAAGTAAGAGTGAAGTCAAAGCAAAATATAAGAATAGAACTACTAATAACGAACGTAAATTGTCGTTTCTTTTATAGGTAAGATTGTACATATGTAAATAATATAAGGTGAATGGTAAAATAAAATACAAACCTTTCTTTTATAGAGAAACATATTTAGTTTGTTATTATTATTATCGGTGGAAACCCTCAAATAGAATAAGAACCTTTATAAAACGACAATTGCTGTTAAAAATGTCAACAAAATTACAGTATGAATTCGAACTTGTGGCATCGACAAGGGACCCAAAGTCAAATGTTATAGCCATAACCTCAATTACAACAGAGGAAGGTAAACGGTACATCTTATCAGAAGAAAATAGATATATGGATAAGCATGAAGAATTAACAAAGACGGAAACCTATAAAAGGGTAAAAACTAGTTTTAAAAAAAGACATCAGGGAAGAAAAATATGGATCTCATTATCAGAAAAATTAAAAAATACTTATATGGATGAAGATGGTAATCTACTATTCATGAATGAATATCTGGAGGAAATAATAGAAAAAGAAGAAAAAGCACATAATGATAAATTAGAGCAAATACTAGAAAAATTACTAGAAGTATCACAGAAGAGAGAAGACAAGAATTTAAAACATATAGCAGAAAAATTTATGATAGAGAAATTTACAAGTAAACATTCAAATGCTAAACAATGGTTGGAAACATTCGAAAAGGAGTGTATAAGGTTCGAAATCGTAAAAGATGATGTAAAAATTGAGATACTAAGACTATTTTTAGATAAATCATGTTCAGATTGGCACTGTGCAACATTAACAAAGCTGACAGTGGAAGCTGGATGGTCTGAATGGAAGGACAGATTTTTACAGACCTTCGCGGACAAAGGATGGAATACAGCAATATATGCTATATGGTTTAAATATAAAGAAGGCTCACTAATTGAGTATGCGATGAAAAAGGAGAGACTATTATTAGACATGGATAAAGACATAGGCCCAAAAACACTAATAACTCTTATAGCAGCGGGTTTGCCCGAATTCATTAGAAATAAGATAGACAGAGAAGAATGTAAAGATTCGACTGGTTTATTTAATGAGGTCAGAAAGTATGAAAGTTTGGCAAATAAAAACAATTTCTTAAAAAAGAAAGAGGGAAAATATGAGTATAATACAAAATCGGCAGAAAAGAAGCCATGCAGGAATTGTGAAAGTCTGAACAAAGGTATCAGATACCATCCAGAGGAATCTTGCTGGTTTAAAATAAAGGAAAATGATAAAGGAAAAAGTAATAAGCCCAGAATGATCAGCAACAACTCAGTCATAGAAGTAGCATTAAACACTGGGGGGAAAAACGAGTAATCACACCATTAGTCAAAATTAACGTCCTATTAGTAAATAAGTTAAAAATAAAAGGAACATACGATTCAGGTTCACAGGTCTCCTTGATAAATTCGAAACTAGTTAAGGAAACCGGAGGGGGGAAAAATGTGAATAAAGCACTTTTAAAAACGGCTAATGGTGTGAAAAGTACCAAGGGACTAATAACTATAAGAATAAAAACCTTTAACATTGAGAAAGAAGTGGATGTATTCATAGTTGAAAGTGAAGACTTCGAAGACTTCATAATAGGACTGGACATGATAAAAGCCTTCAAACTGATCCAAAATGAGAATCTGGAAATTTCACAAAAAGAAACAAATAGATATTCGATAAATTTTAACGAACATATACAAGAAGATGAATTTAAAATTAAGATAGATCATCTAAATGATGAAAATAAAGATAAGATAGAAAGATTAATAGAAGAATATAGAACAGCATTCGCCAAAGATAAGTTCGATATTGGCACAGTAACAGACTACGAAGCCCGAATAGATTTACTGGTGGATAAATATTGCAGCAAGAGGCCATATAGATGTACAATACAAGATAAAGAAGAAATAGAAAAACAAGTGGCAAAATTGCTAGAGAACAACCTAATTGAGGAATCTTACAGCCCCTTTGCAGCCCCAGTAACTCTAGCATTCAAAAAAGATGAAAATAAAAAATCCAGATTATGTATTGACTTCAGAGAATTAAACAAAATTGTAGTGCCCCAAGCCCAACCTTTTCCACTGATAGATGATCTAATCGTTAAAACAAGAAATTGTAAATACTTCACGACCTTAGATATAAATTCGGCTTTTTGGTCGATACCTTTACGAATCGAAGATAGAGAGAAAACAGGATTTGTGACCCAAGATGGGCACTATCAATGGACTTGCCTACCATTCGGACTGAAGACATCACCGGCAATATTTCAGAGAATACTAAATAACATTCTAAGAAAACATAGTTTAACAAGATTCTCGGTAAATTACATAGACGATATACAGTATTTTCTCTATATAAGCTCAGAACTCGTCCACGATATAGACAAATATCGTATCCCCTCTACTTATCCCCACTGCGTACCGTTAGAACCCAGCATTCGCTGTACCGGCGAGTGTGCCTTCCTATGGGCGGTTCCCCAAGATAGCGGCGCGCTTGACGGTCGGTCGTCAAAGATTGTCAAACGATACGGGTTCAAATTACTAAAGCAACACTAGTGAAATAATACAAATTTTTTATTTTTCCTTTTCTTGTTTTGAAACTTTTAACATGTCTGTGACAGTTTCCTGATTTAACTAAGATCAAGTACAACACAATTTTTATTATTGTTTTTCATAAATTATAATATACATTTGTCCTTTCGTTAAAGTGTATCCTCATCTGAAAAAAGAAATTATAATTACATAATTTTCGATTACACTTTAAGTATTATGTATAGCATATATATATGTATATGTATAATTAATACTAAATTATACTTTATCTTACCCAAAATTGAAAATTTAAGGAGATCAATGTGCATTTGTGTTGACCGTCGTAATCGAGGTTTGTATTGTTGCAGTCGCTCAAAAATGTATTTTAATTCCTCTCTTTCATGTCTATTGAAAATCTGATTTTCTGCTCCTTCAACGTCCCCGTCTTCAACCCTATCTTCGTCCTCGTTTTCAACCCTATCTTCGTCCTCGTCTTGGTCTCCGTCTTCATCCTTGTCCCCGTGTTCTGCAGGATTTTTCTTCTCCTCTTCGCTACACATTTGCAATAATTCCTCGGCTTCTTCTTTACTGACATTATCTTCGGATATTAAAGAAATTAATTCTTGCATTATTCCTAATGCTCTTTCCTCTTCTTCGAAAGTGGTTCTTTTAATAATTTTATTCCACGCATTTCTTATATTGTCGGTTGTTATTTCTTTCCACGACTCTGCAATCATCTCAATGCAATCTCTTATGGAATATATTTTATAAAATTCATTAATGCCTCTCGTGCAATCAATCACTCTCTGCATCAATCTACGACGAAAACTACGTTTCGTCTTTTCAATTACTCCTTGGTCCATTGGTTGAATTAAACATGTAGTATTGGCTGGTAAATATTTAATTCTAAAATTTCGGTCAGTATCAGCCATCACTTTATGACCAGCGCAATTATCAAGTAATAAAATTACTGGTCCATTAATACCATTTTTTATGTGGTAGTCCCTCACACTTGGTTTGAAGTGATTTTCATACCAATCTGCAAACAAACTTTGGTCCATCCATGCATTGCGTTGCATCTTGAATGTCACGGGAAGTTTATTCATAATATTTTTTAAAGCCCTTGGCTTTTTAAATTTGTATATTACGAGGGGCATAATTTTATGCGTCCCCGTGGCATTTGAGCATAACGCAATTGTCACTCTTTCCTTCCGTAATTTATATCCACTTACAGATGCTTCATTTCCACCTGCAAGTGTTTTTGTTGGCAAAGCTTTCCACAATAAACCACTTTCATCCATATTATAAATGCAGTCTAAATTTATATTTTCTTCTACAATAAACTTATTAAAGTCTTGTACAAATACATTTGCACCGTCCTCATCAGCGCTGGCTTTTTCACCACAAACATGGACAAGCCTTATATTATGGCGTTCTTTAAATTTTGAGAGCCAGCCTCTACTCACTTTAAAATTGGAAGATATTGCCAAAGTGTTCTTCAGTTCTATGGCTTTTTGCAGAAGAATCGTGTCTGAAAGGATATCGCCGAGTGTTCTTCTTTCAGTGAACCACGCAAGTAAATGTTGCTCCAATTCTTCGTACATTGGCTTCCTAAACCTTTGCCGTTTAGCGCGTCGCTTGTTCTCTTCTGCAAATCGACCAATTATTGCAGAATTGTTTTTTATACGACGAATTGTCGTAGGATGCACGTTAAATTTTGCAGCAACACTTGTAAGGGGTAACGTTTCCAAATCTTTTAACGCGTCCAGCCGTTGTTGCACAGTCAAACTGACTCTCCTTTTAGTTGCCATCCTTTTATTTTAAATTCTCTTAAATGAATCACTAAACTAACTAAATTAAACTAAGTATCAAGGCAGTAATAATTAATAAAAAATTGTAAATAAACTAAGTCTAATTAAAAGTAACTAAAATTTAAGCGAATGTAATTAAAATAAACGAAATGGAAACAAAAAGAAACTATATTTAATTGAAATTAACTAAAACTACACTGAATATAATTATAATAATTAAAAAAAGACACAAAATACACAAACAAGAACTACAGTATTGTCTCTATAGAAGCGACGCTCTCGGGGCTCAACGCTCGGCTGTATCGTGGACGAGAAACGATTCTTGATACTTTGTTGACGCCTACTGGAGGCGGCGAGTATAAAAAAGAACAGCGAGCATATGACAAAGAGGGACTGAGCGGCCGAGCATCGCCGAATTTGCTATCGCTTCCTTCGCTTCGGGTCGGCTGTAACGAAACACAGGCGATGTTTATGCGAGCCTATACGAAATCGGTGTTCTAATTCTGACTTCTACCTCTCTTGGTAGAGGTCGCAGAATGAAATACTGATTCTGTATAGGCTCGCGTAAACATCGCCTGTGTTTCGATACAGCCGACGTGGAGTCACTTGAACGATGCATGCCTTTGATTTCTTATTGCGTTAGTAAATAGGACCTAAATTGTATATCGTATTTGGTGTCATTTTAATCAGAAAACTGTCACGAATATGTTGATGAAGTTCGAAAAAAGGAAGAACAAAAATAAAGATAAATTTCGTTGTTGATTTAATATTGTATATGTACTAGTTAAATCGTGTCATAACTTCAGTACATATATGTATGTATCGCTCGTTTACTGCAATAGTGATATGACTCAAAAAGATACAACTTGCGAATTTGAACTGTTTAACCAACTTATTTTACTCTGAGTTGTCTCACGATTTCGGCAAATAAATGATAGGTCAATTAAATTATAATTCCTTTTTTCAGATGAGGATACACTTTAAAGAAAGGTCAAATGTATATTATAATTTATGAAAAACAATAATAAAAATTATGTTGTACTTGATCTTAGTTAAATCAGAAAACTGTCACAGACATGTTAAAAGTTTCAAAACAAGAAAAGGAAAAGTAAAAAATTTGTATTATTGCACTAGTGTTGCCTTAGTAATTTGAGCCCGTATCGTATGACAATGTTCGACGACCGACCGTCAAGCGCGCCGCTATCTTGGGGAACCGCCCATAGGAAGGCATACTCGCCGATACAGCGAGTGCTTAGTTCTAACGGTACGCAGTGGGGATAAGTAGAGGGGATATGATATTTGCCTATATCGTGGACGAGTTCCGAGCTTATATAGAGAAAATACTGTATATCTTTTCGGGTTATATCACTATTGCAGTAAACGATCGATACATACATATATGTACTGAAGTTATGACACGATTTAACTAGTACATATACAATATTAAATCAACAACGAAATTCATCTTTATTTTTGTTCTTCCTTTTTTCAAACTTCATCAACATATTCGTGACACTTTTCTGATTAAAATGACACCAAATACGATATACAATTTAGGTCCTATTTACTAACGCAATAAGAAATCAAAGGCATGCATCGCTCAAGTGACTCCACGTCGGCTGTATCGAAACACAGGCGATGTTTACGCGAGCCTATACAGAATCAGTATTTCATTCTGCGACCTCTACCAAGAGAGGTAGAAGTCAGAATTAGAACACCGATTTCGTATAGGCTCGCATAAACATCGCCTGTGTTTCGTTACAGCCGACCCGAAGCGAAGGAAGCGATAGCAAATTCGGCGATGCTCGGCCGCTCAGTCCCTCTTTGTCATATGCTCGCTGTTCTTTTCTATACTCGCCGCCTCCAGTAGGCGTCAACAAAGTATCAAGAATCGTTTCTCGTCCACGATATAGCCGAGCGTTGAGCCCCGAGAGCGTCGCTTCTATAGAGACAATACTGTATACCGAAAAGTGCAATAGTATTAGAACCGTTACATAAATTACTACGAAGGGATGAGAGATTTATATGGTCTAATGAATGTGAGGACGCATTCCAGAAAATAAAACAAATGTTGTGTTCACAACCAATTTTAGAAATATTTGATCCGGAGCTGGAAATAAAACTATATACAGACGCATCAATCGAAGGAATAGGAGCAATACTGAAACAAACACAGTTAGATGGAAAAGAGAAACCTGTAGCATATTTTTCGAAAAAATTAAACGAAACCCAAAAAAGGAAAAAAGCAATATACCTGGAATGCTTAGCCATAAAAGAGGCTGTAAAGTACTGGCAACATTGGCTAATTGGCAAAAAGTTTACGGTGTACTCGGATCATAAGCCTCTAGAAAATCTAAACATCAAAGCTAGGACAGATGAAGAACTGGGCGACCTTGCATATTATTTATCACAGTATGAATTTGAAATAAAGTATATACCAGGTAAAGAGAATATAGAGGCAGATGGTTTAAGTCGAAACCCAGTTCTACAGCCGGGAGAGAACAAAGAAGAAGTACTACGAATAGTAAACTCAATAAAATTAGAAGATATAATATCGGATCAAGGAAAAAACGAAGAAATAAAAGGGGAAAAAGTTTAAAACAAAAAAATAAAATCTACTACAAGAAAACGAAAAACAGAGAGAAAATTGTACTATCAGAAGAGTACAGTAAAAAGATAATAAGTCAAGTACACAAAAATTGGTGCCATATAGGCATCAGACAAATGATAAAAAAAATTAGCCCGCGATACACAGCAAAAAATTTAACAAAGAACATAATAAAAACATGTAAAGAGTGTAAAGTATGTGTACAAAATAAGTCAAGAGGTCAAAGGAAGTTTGGCCTGATGTCACACTTGGGTCCAGCATCAAAACCATTCGAAATAGTATCGATAGACACCATCGGCGGCTTTGGAGGATCTAGATCCACAAAAAGATATTTACACCTTTTGGTGGATCATTTCACAAGGTACGCTTTCATTATAACCTCCAAGACACAAAATGGAAGTGATTTCATAAAACTAACGAAGAAGGTGTTGGAGACAGACCATATAGAAGTAATTCTCACAGACCAATACCCAGGCATCAATTCGAAACAATTCAAAGAATTTCTGGAAGAGAAGAACATAAAAATTATATTCACAGCAGTAAATGCACCTTTTTCAAATGGTATGAATGAAAGACTCAACCAGACAATAGTAAATAAGATACGATGTAGGATTAATGAAAAAGAAAACAAAAAGGCATGGACAACAATAGCGCAAGAATGTGTAGAAAAATATAACTCTACCGAGCACTCAATCACCGGTTTTGCACCAAAATACCTACTAGACGGTACGGATGTAAGTATTCTACCAAATGAATTAAAAGAAATGAATGATAAGGATAACTGGCATAAAGATAGGAAAATAGCACTAGAAAATACCATTAAGTCCCATAATTATAACAAGAATATATTCGATAAAAACCGAAAAGAACACATATTTAATATAGGAGATAAAGTTTATGTGGAAAACGGAAACAAATTAAATAGAAAAAAATTAGACAAACTAAGAATCGGCCCGTTTGAAATAATTAACAAAATATCGGATTCCATTTATACGCTAGAAACTGGAAGAAGAAACTCTGACACAAGTCTTTTCCATATAAGCAAATTAATTCCAACTTCAGAAACTGAAGAAGAGACGGATGAATAGGAGTTGGAAAAAAAAGAAAAGGAAAAAATGAGAATTTTCACCCTTGGAGGGGGAGATATAAGGAAAATGTATTTCCCTTCACTCGAATTTGCCGCGCTCTGCGCGAACATAGCTATAGGGTACTGATATCGATCAATATCGATAGAGATAAGGAGAGAAGTAGAGGTTATGTAGGAGAGTGTAAATGCGGGAAAGTAATGCAAAGTAAGAGTGAAGTCAAAGCAAAATATAAGAATAGAACTACTAATAACGAACGTAAATTGTCGTTTCTTTTATAGGTAAGATTGTACATATGTAAATAATATAAGGTGAATGGTAAAATAAAATACAAACCTTTCTTTTATAGAGAAACATATTTAGTTTGTTATTATTATTATCGGTGGAAACCCTCAAATAGAATAAGAACCTTTATATTTATACCCTAAGTTATAGATTCGGTATATTCGCGCACTGATGTTTTCTGTAATCGTTTGTAAGTTGTATCCCAGCTATAAATGCACCTCATTTGTATTTATCATTGAATGCCGATGCATTCAAGGCGGGCGGAATGTTTAGATTCACAATATGAATTGCCACCTCATAAAGCCATTTGACTAGTGCCCTTAAGGCAATAGGGCCCTAAAAGCCATTAGCAGCGTTTGCTAATGGGACGAGGTACCGCGCGGCCTGACACCACCGTTGGGTCAGGGTTTTTCCGCCAAGTACCTGTGACATGTAGACCACCGTCTTGGATGCGAAGGTAGAGAAGTAGCAGCGCACCAATCAGGAAGGAGAAATTTTCTGATTGGCTAGAGGCTGATTTTCAAGGTAACATTTAAGGCCCCACACTTGTAATTTTTGACACACACGTTTTTTGAACATAGGCAGCACACCACGTGCAACGCATAAGCAACATCGGCAGCACTCTACGTGCATTATAAATTGTAAATAAAGACAATCCTTAAACCAAATAAGGTTTTTCAATCAACCTTTGGCAGCACACAACGTGCACTGCTGGTCCTTCGAGCAAGTCGGCACATTACGTGCAAACCTTCCAAAGCTTGAAGATCTTACGATCGCCACAAGCCCCAACACCACAGTTAAATGGTATGGCGGAGAGGATGAACCGAACCATAACAGAAAAGGCTCGGACAATGATAGCTGGTGCGTGTTTAGATAAAGTTTTTTGGGGTGAAGCGGTTCTTACCGCTACATATTTAATAAACAGAACCCCAACTAGAGCGGTGAAATTAGATAAGACACCGTTTGAATTGTGGCACGGTAAGAAACCACAAATAAAATATTTGAAAGTTTTCGGTTCTACGGTATACGTACATAACAAAACCAGTAAATCAAAATTTGATGACAGATCATGGAAAGGA